TAAGAAAATTTTATGCATGAAGTATGTACAGTATTTGAGTATGTGGTATTTGTTGCCACATGCTATATTTGAGCTATGGTTTGAAGTATATGTTTATGAGTTTTAATATTTATTTGAGGCTTTACGATTATGTTTTATTATCGAAGTTTGTTTGATCTCTAAAGATCCTAAGAGATATTTCATCGCTAAATACGTAAAGTAAAGTCAAACTCGCTTAGCAAGCCACTATCTCGAGGGATCCCTACCGAATGTTGATACGTTCCGCGGTAGCGGGTCAGGCGTGGAGCCAGACGGTATTGTCTAGGTTTAGGTGTGTTGTTAGATGGTGATACATTCCGCGGTAGACATAACGCATGTTGAGGGGCACCCCATTGTGAGGGTAGTCATGTTTAAGTAAGGAAGGTGAGTAGTGGTGCAACTAAGTCGAAGTAGTTCACTAACGCCAATCCACTGCCCTAGTGAAAGTTTAAAGCAATAGCACATAATGCTCTCAAGGTTAAAGGATTGTGGGGATGAATAGACTCCTGCAGAGGTTAAAGGTTAGGTCTAAGTTGGCTCTCATACGTATGAGTTGGGCGGCTGGACTAGTGAATGTGGGGATACCAGAGTCGGTCAAAGGTTTAACAATTTGAGGGTGGCGATTAACACCAACTCTCATGTTTTTAAGAGTGAAAGTTTATAGGCGGCAGTAATAACAACTTCCACACTTTCAAGGAGGGTTTAAGTTAAAGAGAGGAAGTATAACAACATCCACAAATTTTGAGATGAACACTTAAGGAAATAAACTTAGGTTCTTCGAGTTTAAGTAATGGAGTAGACTGGTCACAACCCACCCACCCAGGTCATAGAGGAGGATTGAGAGAGCAACCAGTCGTAGAGCGAGCAGCTAAGGAGTAACCAGCTAGAAGAGCACAATACGAGCGTCACTGAAGGTGCCAGGGATCGGATTCGAGCAGACAACATAGTCGACTTTTATTTATTTTATTTATTATTATGAGTAGTGACTGGAGATCAGATAATGGAAAGTAGTACCCGGACGGGTTGGAATGTTACAACAAGAATGGAAAGAATGACACTAAGGGAAACCACCCTTGCCTTAGCATCGGATAAACATATGAAATCAAAAATCATAGCAATTCAAGGTAATTGAGGTGCATAGATCACTAATATGGGAACCAATGCAATGAACAAGCCATTGATTCCCCTTCTAGCCACATTCGTTGGCCCATTGCCACCACAATCGACTTCAATGACTAGGGATAATAGTTTATTTCCTCTCAACGGGTTTCACTTGTCTGCACAAAAGGACAAAAGTCAATGGTCACGCACTCGAGTACCAAGCATTACCTAGGTGAGCTCCTAGTTAGCAAGGGTTGGTCACCTTGTCCACCAACTAGAACTCAAGATCAATTAACTAAACTAAAGAAAGTCATTCACATATAATTAGTTATAAACTAAATTGACATAGGCTAATAACATTGTATACATGCAATCATCCATTTGGTAACTTAAGCTAAAAACATGACATACATTCATCCATCCATCCCAAGCTCATAAAGAAGCATTAGAAACTCTAGATAAACTTAAATTAACCATAAATTAACTACACACATTCAATTACGCATAATACCCTATAGTTAGGGTTTGAGGGATAAAAACCCATGTACCTTAGGCCATTACCCCATGAAAGGGTGAGGGGAGGAGACCCATGGAAAGAAAGTAAGAAAACATAAATAGAGATCCTATGTGCAGGTTAACTCCTCCTTGAGCTCCTCCTTCTTTCGTTCTTCTCCCTCTCTCTAAGGCAACAACTTCTCTCTCTAGTTCCTCTCTTTAGGGTTTTGCAGTTGACAAGAAGGATATATGCAAGGGAACTGGTATTAAAGAAGTTGGCAAGCACTCAAAATATCTCGGGTCATCGAGATTAGTTGGTAGAGCAAAGAATCAAAATGTTCTTCTACCTATATAAAAATAATGAACAAATTATCTCCATTGGAGCAAAATTATTTTTGGAGATGCTAAAATGTAAAATCTAACTCCAAATTTTGGAATTTCAGATCTTCCAATTGAAGATGGTCGCATGGGGTTAGTTGAGGTGGAAAGTCTGATTGCTAAAGAGGTTGCTTAATTATCTTGTTGTTTAATGAATTGATAGCATCGTATTTGCACGTGTTTTCACTCTGGTTTCCTGTCCATTTTGGCTCGAATTGATTGTTCCTAGGCCTGTTTTACGCTAGGTTGTGTTGTTTTGTCGTATTTCAGGTCCTAGCAAGTAAAGAGGTGCATAGGCGCAAGTTTCGGGTCATTTGGAGGTTAAATGGCGAAGCACAGACAGAATTACGGGCAGCCCCTGCTAAATTACGGCCGTAATTACGACCGTAATTCTCAAATTACTGGCGGTAATTTGTAAATTACGGGCGTATCTCCTCCTCCTGCAGCTTAAGTGAAACGTGCGTTTTGGTGCGAATTACGGGCAGGACGTGATTACGGCCGTAATTCGCCCAGAGTCGGGTTTTTGGAGGCAGATTCGAGCCAAGGAAGAGGAATTCGATTTTCTGGGCAAAAACAGAGTTTTAGAGAGAGAAAGAGCGAAGAACAAACCCTAGGAGCTATTTTGGAGTGGATTTCTCATCATTGAAGCCCAGATTGCGTCCCTAGGAGTGAAGATTGACATCCCAGAGCAGATTTTCCTCATCTTTATGAGTATGACTACTCTGATTTCCGTTTTCCTTTCTCTCTCTATGGAGTAGAATATTTCTCTCACTTGGGTATGAAGAACTCTAGTTCCTTGTGTTAGGGATTTGATTGTAATGACTTGGGATGATATTACTGTTTGATTTTAATCGAATGATGCATGTTTATTGAATTGATTGGAGTCTGATCAGCTTTTCTCAATTTCTGCTGCAACCTGAGATAGATAGAATCTGATTAGGTTGTTAGAGCCTCTTCATTCGATAGTAGGAGGTTGGCTATACGAGAGTTAGCCAGTTTACTGCTTTGTACTGGAATTCATTCCAGTAGTGGAGTTCTGTGTTCATAGCCTCAGCTTTCTATCCTGGTGAAGACTAGTCGTCTGCCGGGTAGTTGGACTGAGAGGGCTTGGTCAGCTTAAGAGATTCCAAGCTAATATAGGATCTTCCGCAGTTTAATCAACAGTAGATCAACCAAAGGTAAATGCAACTTGGACCTAATTGAGGAGCTAGGGGGAATCATACCTAAGTGAGTTCCCAACTTGTAATTAGTAGAGTAGTTAGTAGAGTAGTTTAGTTAATCAATCCTTAATCTAGTTTGCTAGATAATGAACTGAAGCTGAGTAATAGTAACTCTAGAGACCCGTGGATTCGATATTTATTACTTGTGCCACTATACTGCAGTCCCTTTCATTGGTTACACTTGGCCACTGTTAGGTGTTGTGTTTTAGCGTGTCAAGTTTTTGGCGCCGTTGCCGGGGAACTTTCTAGATTATTAGGAAAGGAAGAAGTTTGTTACTTTAGCGTTTTCTTTTGTTTTCCACCCTTGCTTTTCACTTGGGTGTTTTTTGTTTTTGTTGGTGCAGATCTGAATCATGGACCCTCATGGCTTCTCCAATCATTGGGGGTATCCACCACCATCCGAGTGGTATTACCCCGAGACTCCCTGGGGTAACCAAGGAGGAGAAGATTATGGAGTCGGGTTCCAGTACCAACCCCCTTTCTACGGAGAACAATCAGACCCCTGGGCATATCAAGAACAACCTCCTTATCGAGAAGAATTTCTCCCACAACCAGAGGGGCCATTGGAGCTGGAGTTACCCATGGTGGCCTTCACGGGCCATTCTGCAGAGCCATGCTACACTCCACAGCCAGATCCAAACTATGAATTGAGGCTTCTCATGGAGCAGCTTGCTCGAGACTGTGAGAGATCATGCTCCAGGATGGATCATTGTGTCCAGGCCTATCGTGAAACAGAGGAGATCTTCCTGAGCCTTAAGAAGAGCGTCGATGATCTTGAGCGATCTTGTGCACAACCTGCTCCAGATCACCCTTATGTTACCATACTAGAAGAGGAGGAGGAAGAAGAAGGCTACAAGGACATTGTGGAGCACACTGAAGTTGTCACGGAGAGCTCCCGTGATGATCATGATCAAGAATGTCCTGTCGTATCCGACCACCCCTTCCCACATCCCACACCGAGCTTTGAAGAGGTGGGAATGAGTGAGGAGATGAAAGAAGATCTCATGAAAGAAACTGCTTGGCAACTTGCTCTCCAATCCGTGCTAGAAGAAGAAGAGCAAGATAGGGTGTAGAAAGAAGTTGTGGAGGATGACGAAAGTGAAGCAGAAGGAGTTCTTGATCATTTCCCATGGGTGATACCACATGAAGAAGAAAGGGGGGTTGAAGAAGCAATTGGCGTCCAGGCTGAGGACGGAGTTGAGGCGGAAGTGGCCTGCACCGGCCATGAGTTACATGTAGGGCTGTCCATTTGGTTTTGGTTTTTTGGTTTTAACCATAACCAAACCAATTGAAAAGCTAATGGTTTCAGTTTTTTGGTTTTAAACCAATAAGCAACTTAATGGTTTTGGTTTGGTTAAAACTGAAAAACCAATAAGAAACCAATATCAACGAAACGACCCCTTTCAACGAAACGCTCGCGCAACTCTTTCCCTAGAACCCTTCGAAATCCCTAAACCCCTTTCGAACGAAATGCTCTCGCCTGCGCACGAGGCACCTCTCTTCAGAGTCTTTTCGTTGCTCTGAATCCCTAGAACCCTTTCGAGGCACCTCTCTTCTTCTCGTTGCTCTGAAGCCGGCTATCTTTGGCATAGGCGGAAACCTGAGTTGCTGCTTTGTGGCCGTTGATTCTTAGCTCGAGGAACTGGGTCGGCGAATAACTCCATGGGTGGGCATTGTCTAGCTTGAGCATATTCTGGGTCGTCGGTGTCGATTGGAGAGAACTGGGTTGTCGGCGACATTTTCCTTCTCCTACTCCATACTCTGTTCTAAACTTGCCGCCTCTGTTCAATGGAATCTCAGTGAGTCCCTCACATAGCTTGCTTGCATCTATCTTCCCCTATTCGATTTGTTGATTTTTGGATTTGGGTTTCGTTTCTGGGGCTTGGTTATTGGCTAAAGCATGGTATATGTGTTGATTTTTGGATTTGGGTTTCGTTTCTGCCATATTTTCTGGTGACTCTGTTTGTGGCTTTCATTCAATCTCCCCTGACTTTTTCTGGGTGGTGACTCTGTTTATATTTCCTGGTTGCTTTCTGGATCACCGAGAAGTCGTTCTTGCTTTGAAGTTGTTCTGGTTTTGTATGTTCATTTTACAAATGTAATGTATCTCTCTCTCTCTCTCACTGGCATTCTCTCTTGGGCGTTCTCTGCCTCATGAGTATTCGATGATTGGGAACATTTGACAAGACACTGTTTTTGTGAGATTTGAAAAAACATGTTATCAGTAGAGAGAGCTTGATTGATGTTTTGGATTTGATATTTCAGTTGGATACAGTTTTGTTTACAACAGTTTTATGGAATGTTTCTTGTTCAATATGCGTATGGGAAGCTGCCGCTTGTTCTGCTTATCCAAGTTTATGGCTCATTGCGTTATCTTTCTCGCATTTTGTGGTATCCTCATGTCTCCCATGGTTGTCCCGGATCTTGAAGAAACTTGGTGGTAGGTTACTGGTGGATTTGATTCCTTCCCGTCAACTGATTTTGATTCATGGAGAATTGAGTAGTATATTGTTGTTGAAATGTGTGCTTTGAGCTCAGTGGAAATTAGCAATGATCCAAGTTTGCACTGCCAGATTTTGTGATTCTTCTGTTTTTGTTGGAAGAATGAATGTTGTGTAGTTCTTGGTTACAGCAATGATGACTCGTGATTGTTATGTCGACCATTGTAGTAACTAATAGCTGTGCTGTGCTTATGAGCAAGTTTTGCTTATGTTGATAAGTGCAATTCAAATTGAGATATATTTGTGATGATACTGGTCTTAATGATTGTCATTCTGGTCATAATTGGTGTTGAGATAGATTTGCTTGTTTCAGGGTGTGATGTTAGGCCAAGTGATTATGTACTTGATTTTGATACAAATTCACTTTTGATATTGGCAGGAACAGTGAGATACCATTATCACAAAATGTTTCATCTAGTGGTGCTCGTCCTAGAAGTGGGCACTCCAAAAGCACCAGTATTCCGCCTAGACCTCCTGCAACGTCTTCCTCCACTTTTGCACCATCTTCCGGTACCACCACAGTACCCAATGCTCAAACAGAAGGTGGGGGGACAACATCGAAAAAAGGAAAGACAGATATGATGTTTGGAGACATTTCACACACTTGGAGATGGGTGGAGTGAAAAAAGCTCGATGCAACTACTGCAATAGTGCTCTTGTAGCTAACGGGACATCTACTCTACGGACCCACAAGGATAATTGTTTGGCAAAGATAGCAAGGGGTGATCTTGTAGTCGAGCTTCCGTCATCTTTTGAAGGCCAGGTACACACTCTTGGTTCTTGGCAATTTAATCAGACTGATGCTAGGAGAGCTTTAGCGGAGATGATAATTCTAGATGAATTGCCATTTAGATACGTTGAACATGAAGGGTTCAAACGCTTTATGTCCCGTGTTTGTCCTATGTTTGTGCTGCCTAGCCGACAAACTGTTAGAGAAGATTGCATCAAGGTGTTTTTTGAAAACAGAGATATGTTAAAGGATTATTTCAAAGCTAAATGTTTGGGGATGGTATCTCTCACAACTGATTGTTGGACGTCTTTGTCCAATCTCAACTACATGTGTGTTACTGCACATTTCATCGGTAGGGATTGGAAGCTGTATAAGAAAATTATCAACTTTGTTCAGATAACAAAACATTCTGGAAATGAAATTGGAAAACAGTTGGCTAGTTGTTTGTTGGACTGGGGCATTAGGAAGGTCTTTTGTATCACAATGGATAATGCTAGTGTTAATGATGTGGTTGCTATCCATATGAGGCAACAGTTGAAAGAGTGGGGATCAGATATTGTGGATGGAAAGTATCTGCAGATGAGGTGTGTGGCTCACATTATTAATTTAGCTGTGAAGGATGGGCTTAAAGAAACTTGTATATCTGTTGAGCGAGTGTGAGAGTCTGTGAAGTGGGTTAAATCTACACCAACTAGGAGCAGAAAATTCAAAGATTGCATTGAGTTTGAAAAGATAGTGTCGAAGAAATTTGTTTCGTTGGATGTAGCTACAAGGTGGAACTCAACGTATCTGATGTTGGAATCTGCAAAGCCATTTGAGAAAGCATTTCAGACATTAGCCAGAAATGAGAAGAATTTCAAGAAACATCTCAATGAAAAAAATATGGAAATCAAAGCCTTGGTATCCCAACTTCTGATGATTGGTCAAGTGTCGGACGATTGATTAGTTACTTGAAGCTCTTCTATGATGTGACTGTTCGAGTTTCTGGGACTTCATATGTAACTTTACACCTCTTATTTGATGAAATATGTGAAATGTATACTACGATTTCTGAGTGGGTTGATAGTATTGATTTTGAGGTGGGTTGCATGGCTGAGAGAATCAAGTCCAAACTTGCCAAGTATTGGTTTGAAGAAGAGTGGGAGAATTCCAAGATCAATCGGTTGTGCTATATGGCAGTCATATTAGATCCAAGGCGCAAAATGGAATATCTTGAAGAAGCTTTGAAGAAGGTATATGGTGAAAGTAGGGGGAAAGCTTTGGCCGATGAGGTGAAAGATGAAATGCGTGCTCTGTTTGACCATTACAAGCATAGGATCGGACTTCATAGTAGTTCTCCTATTGTGATTCAAGAAGGTGAGCAAGAACCTAGTGGAAGTGGGGATGGGAAGAAGAAAGGAAAGTTTTGGGGATGATTTCAGGAAAAAGAAAAGAGATGCCATTCGGAAAGGAACTAGAAAAAGTTCCAAATCTGAGTTTGATAGGTACCTTGAGGAGGAGGAGGATGATGAGGAGGTTACACGAGCAATGGTGGGTTCTGAAGAGGATGAGTATAAGTTTGACATCTTGGGATGGTGGTCGCGAAGTGGGATGAAATATCCTATTATTTCTGAGATGGCTAGGGATATTCTCGCTGTTCCTATTTCCACGGTTGCTTCTGAGTCGGCATTCAGTACAGGAGGTCGAGTTTTAGATTCGTTTAGGACCTCCTTATCCCCTGAAGTTGTGGAGGCTTTGATTTGCTGTGAAGATTGGATAAGATCTTCTAACTCTGAGTTGGTGGCTGATGGAGAAGATGAGTGTGATGAAGTTGTATTTCAGAATGGTAAGAACTTATGTTTATTCTTATATTTGTTATTGTAATGAAATCATATTCTAACAAGTTATTGTTTATGTTATCTAGTATTTGCAGCTTTTCAAACTCGAAGTGCAAGTGCACCTGCAGAACCTAGTGGAAGCTCACATTCTGCTCATGTTCCGATCTCGAGTCCTACTGGGTCACAAGTCGAAGAAGTTTATTTTGATGAGGATTCTGATGGGAATGATGAGACTTGTGTGGATATAGAGTCCGATAAGGTGGAGTGATGTTGATTTTTAATATTGTTACCCAAAGTTGACATTGTGGATGTTATTAGTCTTAAATGTATTACTGGAAGGATAAAATGTTGGTAAGACCATTTGTAGTATAATGTTATTAGGTGACAACTTATATATAAGCAACCAACAGGGGACATAAATACGAGCCCCAAAACCATGGCTAAGACTAACTTCCTTCCTTCCTAACTCGTATCAAAGACACAGACCTGAAAGAGACTCTCAAAAGGGTTTGTGTTCAATCCATGGCATCCATTTAAAATAGAAAAACAATAACATGTTTCCTTGATTCATTGTGAACCATATATATACTATTTTTTATAAGAATGTACAAATAATAATAATAAAATTATTTATCATGAATTTTTTTTATTGTTTCTTTAGATATGCATGCCAACTAATAATTTATAATGGTCATTTTATCATTTACCATTATTATGACTTTTATTCAATAAAAAGAAGGGAAATAGAAATAAATATGAGTGTATGAGTACATGTTGGTTTTTTGGTTATCCAAAACCAAAACCAAAACCATTAAGGTCCTTATTGGTTATTGGTTACCAATAACCAATAAGGACCTTAATGTTTTTGGTTTTGGTTTTTGCTGATTTGGTTTTTGGTTTTTGGTTTTTCATACTTAATGGTTTGGTTAACCAAACCAAACCAAATTGACAGCCCTAGTTACATGTGATATCTCCACCAAACTTCGAGGAGCTGCTTGGCAAGGACCCATTTGCAGTGTCTCTTTGCCAGACCAAGGCCACATTGACATCGGTCCCTCTTGGTGGACGCGATGGTGGCCAATCGATGTTGTCTTATCTAGTTTGGGACAATGAGACGAGAGAAGAGAAGAAGAGGTCTCGAGGGTGGAGACTTCATCTGCATCAAGTGCACGAGCCTTCATCACCTGCCACACCACCTGCTTGTGACTTGAGACTCCAGCTCATAGATGAGAACCTCAACTTCAAGGAGGTTCTAGCATGGACCGAAACATAGGAGCCATTGTCCGGCTCACGACGTGAAAGAAGCGCTTGTTGGGAGGCAACCCAACCAGTCGGTTTGCATTTCTTTCTCTTTTTCTCCTCGGTTGAGTCAGTTTTGTTATTTGATTTTAGAGTCAATAACTCAACCTTTGTGAGATTTTGTGTGGTGTTTGTGCTCCGACTACTCTCTCATCCTGGAATGCACTGCCTACCTCGTCCACCGTCATTCACCCTTGATCTGGTAACTTCGTTCTACCCTCCTTATCTTTCCTCCATTGAGGACAATGTCGTGCTTAAGTGTGGGGGGGTGTTCGATTATGTATGCGTGTGAATGTTTGGTTGTTTGTGTGCTTGGAGCCTAGTCCACTGTCCAAATTTCGATTTGAGGGCTCCAAGTACGTGTTCCCATGCAAATTGCCTGCTCAGTATGCTTTGAATTGACAGTCTCTATCGTAATGTGCAACCTAGGGAGGTAGTGTAGCACTATGGAGGATGTTGAAGTATAAGATTTTTCCGATCTAGCTCTCTGCTGTGTCAGTTGATTTTGTGAATTAGTGGAGCTAAGACAGTTGAATTCATGTGGTAATGTGGACTCTGTTTGAATTGTGTTATGGACTCGTGTATTGAACAGGGTGCTCATGTGAGAAATGAAAAGCAGTTGGTCCTCCATGTCGAAATCATTGAAGTCTTAAACATGGGGTAAGCCCAACGTGTGTGGCACCGTTCATTGCACAAAATCGGGTTTTGGAAGAGATTTTAGTGATCCTTAGTGGGGTACTCCTACAAGGTGAAGCTAAGCTGTCTCTAGTACAAGTAAAATTTTCACCCGTTGAACGGTTTGCCTACTTGAGGATGTGTTTTTAAGGGCACGGATAGAGCTTCCGAACCCCCTTAATTTCATTGACCCTCCACACGAGTTGAGGAAAAGGAGTTAAAAGAAGTACCCTGGCGAGTGCCAGGTGTACAGAAATTGCTCTTGCTCGACTAATAAGGGTCGACCGTGCAAAAGACTGCAGTTGGAACCCCTGCTAAGTGAAAAAAAAAACAAGGAAAATGTGAATGAAAGTGCAAAAAGGGGGTCCCAACGGTGAAATGAAGTGAAAGAGCACCCCGGTACAACGAGTCCTTGGTTGTGAGTGTTGTGAGTCCCTTTGTCCATGAACTGACTGTCTTACTTCTACTTCTTCTCATGATACTGGCTTGAGTCTAGTACTCGCGTTGAGAGAGATAGGGGACGTCTTAGAAGACCAGTTGACCTCGTAAGCTGCTATATGTCTAGGAAATCCTCTACCGACGATCGGGGTTGTTTGTTGCTATAGAGGTCTGGAGAGCTGCATTGGTTTGAGTTAGGTTTGCTTGGGGACAAGCAAACGGTTAAGTGTGGGGGAATTTGATAGCATCGTATTTGCACATGTTTTCACTCTGGTTTCCTGTCCATTTTGGCTCGAATTGATTGTTCCTAGGCCTATTTTACGCTAGGTTGTGTTGTTTTGTCGTATTTCAGGTCCTAGCAAGTAAAGAGGTGCATAGGCGTAAGTTTCGGGTCATTTGGAGGTTAAATGGCGAAGCACAGACAGAATTACGGGCAGCCCCTGCTAAATTACGGCCGTAATTACGATCGTAATTCTCAAATTACTGGCGGTAATTTGTAAATTACGGGCGTATCTCCTCCTCCTGCAGCTTAAGTGAAACGTGCGTTTTGGTGCGAATTACGGGCAGGACGTGATTACGGCCGTAATTCTGCCCGTAATTTGCCCAGAGTCGGGTTTTTGGAGGCAGATTCGAGCCAAGGAAGAGGAATTCGATTTTCTGGGCAAAAACAGAGTTTTAGAGAGAGAAAGAGCGAAGAACAAACCCTAGGAGCTATTTTGGAGTGGATTTCTCATCATTGAAGCCCAGATTGCGTCCCTAGGAGTGAAGATTGACATCCCAGAGCAGATTTTCCTCATCTTTATGAGTATGACTACTCTGATTTCCGTTTTCCTTTCTCTCTCTATGGAGTAGAACCTTTCTCTCACTTGGGTATGAAGAACCCTAGTTCCTTGTGTTAGGGATTTGATTGTAATGACTTGGGATGATATTACTGTTTGATTTTAACCGAATGATGCATGTTTATTGAATTGATTGGAGTCTGATCAGCTTTTCTCAATTTCTGCTGCAACCTGAGATAGATAGAATCTGATTAGGTTGTTAGAGCCTCTTCATTCGATAGTAGGAGGTTGGTTATACGAGAGTTAGCCAGTTTACTGCTTTGTACTGGAATTCATTCCAGTAGTGGAGTTCTGTTTTCATAGCCTCAGCTTTCTATCCTGGTGAAGACTAGTCGTCTGCCGGGTAGTTGGACTGAGAGGGCTTGGTCAGCTTAAGAGATTCCAAGCTAATATAGGATCTTCCGCAGTTTAATCAACAGTAGATCAACCAAAGGTAAATGCAACTTGGACCTAATTGAGGAGCTAGGGGGAATCATACCTAAGTGAGTTCCCAACTTGTAATTAGTAGAGTAGTTAGTAGAGTAGTTTAGTTAATCAATCCTTAATCTAGTTTGCTAGATAATGAACTGAAGCTGAGTAATAGTAACTCTAGAGACCCGTGGATTCGATATTTATTACTTGTGCCACTATACTGCAGTCCCTTTCATTGGTTACACTTGGCCACTGTTAGGTGTTGTGTTTTAGCGTGTCATGAATCCATGTTAAAATCTCAACCAACGGGTTGACCCTTGCCCATTGAGAAAAACAGACCGCACACAACCGTCGGATCGATCCGCTGTAATGTTGTCGGATTGAAGGTTACACAGTGTCTTTTTCCATTTGGTTTGCAAAATGCACCTATTTTTTCGTTTTCCTCTTTGTCTAAACATAATTTTGGAATTCTAAGTTGGACATTTGAATATTGATCTTATATAGTTATGTAAGTGTGTGTAAATTTCCACTATACGTTAGATCCAAGTACGACATATTATTTTGGTGTAATGTTATTATTATTCATATGCATGTTAGATAAAATTTGATATAATATACTAGAGGTGGCAATTCTCAATCCAATCCACCAACCCATTAAAAATATTCACCTAATCCACTCCATTTAAATCCAAGCCATTTGATTAAAATACAATTGGATTGGTGGATTCATGGATTGATCCATGGATCCAAATGGCAAATTACGGTTTGATACATATACTTTTTATATTTTACATTTTGGTATCCAAAATTTATTTTTTTATATGAAAAAATATCGTTGGAAAATTACGTTTTGGTACTTAAAAATTTTCATTATGACATTTTAGTACCTAAACTTTTCACATTTTACATATTGGTATTTGGTTGAAGTTGTCATTTGGATTCATGGATAATCCGCCAATCTACTTGATCCAATCCATGAATCCACCAATCCATTGGATCCAATCCATTTGATCCATGGATCCACCAATCCACGGATCAATTCATTTGCCACTTCTGATTTATACGCAAAACTCTTCCCTGGCAACACCGCAAGTATCTGAGTCGAGTGGTAGTTCAGACTGCCGAGGTTATTTAGGTGATCCGGCCTCGAAGCATTGTCACCAGCCCGAGATCCGCAGCTTTCTCCGGGTCGACATGCCCCGACCCGAACGTCGTTGCTGCTGCTAAAACAAAACCGTCGAATGAAGACCCGAAATTGACAATTGGTTTCACTGTGTTATCCAGGTCATAAGCGGTGGTCATCATTCCCTGTTCGCAAATATAGAGTGGTTGTTGCAGGCTTGCAGCTACTATGGAGTTTGACATGGCTTCTGAAATCCTGTAATAAGCACCACACCCTACTCCTTTCGTACACTTGTGAAGAAGATTTCCCATTCTAGGTTTAGCAGAGGCACTTTTCCCCTTTTTTCGACTTTGATATAATGAGCTAGCTAGGTTTCACAACACTCGTGGCATGAGAAATTACATTCCGACACCTAGGGGTGGAAATCGGTACGGTATCGGTATCCCAATACCAAATACCGAAATCCCGAATACCGAATTACACTCTAAAGTCAATCCCAATCCCAATCCCTAAATTATTTCGGTATCCCAATTCCAATCCCTAAATATTTCGGTATCCCAATCGGTACTTCGGTATCCCAATCGGTATTATCGAATACGAAATTAATTATCTTTACAATTAATAATTAAATATATAAATTA